AAATAAATAAATAAATAAATAAATAAATAAAATCTTTTAAAAAAAAGATAAAAAGGAAACTGGAGAAAACCTGGCTCAATATTTGGCCCCACATCATCACTTACATGGGAATAATCCTGGCACAAAGACCTTAAGCTGCCATAGTCAATCCAGTCAGGGAGAGAGAATCAGAAGCTCGAACGTGCTGTAATGGTACCTGATAGGGTGAGAGCAGGGAGAGGTTGTTCTCAAAATAGTGGAAATGGGCCAGAAAGGAGTCCACACTCATGGCATCAATGTGGGAGCACGTCACGCCTTTGACCAGCTGCCCGGTGCTGGAAAACAGAACAAGGGATCCAGGAGAAGAAGGGGGTTGGGAGGGGAGAGGAAAGGAGGGGCAAGAGAAAGCAGGTCTGATGGGCACAGGCTACAGACTGGACTGTCCAACTCTCCTTCCTGGGAAATCAGGCTCCAAAGGGCTCGTCAGCCCTCAGGCCAAGTATACTTGCCCACCTCAGGAGCTCCTCGGGCCTTCTGGTCGACTTTGACAGAAGCTCATACAGGAACAAGGCCTGAGGGAAGAGAATGGTTGCCGGTATGGATGGAGCACTCACTCACTCACTCACCGTGAGGAGCGCAGTGTGTGCCCAGCACCATGAAGCCCTATGGGGAAGACACACTATGATCCCATTTTACAGATGGGGAAATGGAGGCTTAACAGGCTATGTTATTCACCCAGGCCCACACAACTGCTAGGTGGTAGAGCTGGGATTTGAACTGGTGTCAGAGTGATTGCAGAATGCATGCTCTCACACCTGGAGGATCGCCCATGCTCTAGAACACAAATGAGGAGCAAAGCCGTCAGGCAGCAAGGCTGGAGGTTTATTTCCTATGCTTTGTGAAGCTGCGGATCAGCTGGGGACCCTCCACAGCCCCTCGGTCCGTGCCCCCCTGCTAGCTCCGAGGAAGCAAAAGAGAAGATGGATGAATAGACCAGGACGGGCTAGAAAGTACCATCAATAAAGTAACTCCTGCTTGCAGCATGCACTGCCCTCCCACCATCCCAGATGGGCACTCTAGAAGAACAATACCTAGCAGGCAGGGGAGCCATTTGTTTTAATGAACATAATTTTACAGAACACCTAACTTGCAGATGCGATCAAGTATGACATTCATCTATTTTATAGACTCTGAAACTTTGAACATAATTCCCCAAACGGAATAAATTATGAGCCATCGTTAGGCAGAGGCATCTGTGACGTGACAGCCAGGCCCAAGAGAAAGGAACAGCTAGGGAGGTAAGCTCCCGAAGCTCTGTGTGTGGCCCCAGACATGTCCTCAGGTGCAGGATCAAGTTCTGGAACCCTACCCCACCCCAGTCTTCCCCATCGCTAAGGTTCTCTCCCTCCTCTCCCTCGGCCCCTCCTCACCACACCCCACCCCTCAGCAGGTGCACGCATGCTCTCTCTCTCTCAATCTCTAAAATAAATAAATAAGTCATTAAAAAAAAAAAAGAAATATCCCCATTTCACACTGAGAAAACTGAGGCTGAGCAAGAAGTGGCTCCCCCAAAGTTAATAAATGGCAGCACCCAAATTCATGCTCAGGTCTTGTCCAACTTCTTAACGCTATGCTGTTCTGCCCCCTGAGTGTAATCACACAGAAATAAATTTCTTTTACCAAATTAACCTTAAAACAGAGCTTTCCCACAAGGCAGAGAGTCAGAAATCCAGGAGCGATCTGGGCATCATGGCTGTGATATTGTGATTTACAATAAGAAATCTAAATTTGTTCTTATCCCCTTTTCTGGCACCAGCTCCTAAAACCCTGGGAATATCCTAAGTGGGGAGAGCAATCAAGGTTCACTGGAACCTTCGATCTATAGCTGGTAGGTCAGAAGCACAGGGGACGACGAGGACTTGTGACTGGCATCTGAAGTTGAGGGGCAGGGGGTGTAGGATTATAGGGCTGAACCCTTGATCTGTGGGATCTGATGCCATCACCAGGTTGACAGTGTCAGAATTGAGATGAATCATAGGACACTCAAATGATGTTGGAGAATTCCTTGTTGGTGTGAGGAACCCACTCCCCCCCAACATACACACATCCAAATTGGTGTCAGAATCCTTAGTGGTCATACCTGACTCCTTCGAAGCTCCTTTTCCTTTAGGACTGTAGTGTTAAATCCGGGTTCCCTCCGTAAATCAAAAAGAGACACCTCCTTAAAGAAAGCCCCTTGTATTTCCACAATGCCTGAGGTAGTATCTCCTGCTTCAATCATCTGCCAAGAGTGAGGATAAACATAACAACCACCTTGTAGAAGGCGCACTGAACTTTGGGTAAGGGCCAGGCACTGTGTCAGTGCTTTCAGAGGCCATGAAATCCACCATATCTGCTCAGGACCCTCTGAGGTGGGGGACTATCCTTACCCCCATTCTGCAGGTGAGAAAACTGAGAAAAAGGCAGCATGTAACTGGTTGAAAGTTGATAAGTGAGATTCAAGCACAAGTCTGTCTTATTCTAGAACCCACACTCTTTATTTTTTTTTTCTGATTGTAAGTTTTTTTTTTTTTAATTTTTTTTTATTCTTATGTTAATCCCCACCCACACTCTTTATTTTAACCAAATGTGCTATTGCCATCTGAAAGGTGTTGGTATTTTAAGCCAAACTCCTTGGGTTTCGTTTCCTAACAGATTTTGCAACGGGACGCAGCAGGTCTGAGAGAATAGGACGCCCAAAGGCCCACTGCCAGGTGAGAAAGAGGAACATAGGTGTGACTTCAAATCATGGAAGGGGCTTTCAGAAGCACTCTGCGAACTTCAGGAATTCACTTTGAGATTTGAAAAACAAACTTTCAAAAAAATAAATAAATAAAATTAAAAAAAAAAAAGAAAAACAAACTTTCAAAACGTTATCATATCAAGAAACCTAATTTAAGAAAAGTCCTCCAGAGTCAACTGGCTAAGGAAAGCACCGGGGTCTGGGAAGAAATATAGCGTGACCCTTGGAGAGCCTCGGTGGCGCAGTCGGTTAACTGTCCGTCTCGTGGTTTCGGCTCAGTTCCTGATCTCGGGGTCATGAACTCGAGGCCCACATCAGGCTCAGCTCAGAGTCTGTTTGAGATTCTCTCTACCTTTCCCTCTGCCCCTCCCACTCATGCTCTTTCTCTCTAAAATAAATTAATTAGTCTTTAAAACAGAAAGAGAGAGAGGAAGGAAGGAAGGAAGGAAGGAAGGAAGGAAGGAAGGAAGGAAGGAAGGAAGGAAGGGAGGAAGGAAGGAAGGAAAAGAAATGCAGCATGAAACTCTTTCTGGAAAAGAAGGGAAGCGGCCATCAGGGGAAGGTTCAGAACACACCCTCACCAAAGGTTCAGCTAACCCCAGCCCTGAGTCAATGGCCCAAAGTCACAGCACACTCACAAAACCCCAAAACCACATGCTCTGTGAACCACATGGCTGAAGACCCGATGTCTTCCTCTCACCTTGCTGAGGACACCTTGCTTCTGGGCAGGTGACAAGTTGGACACATGCAAGGAGACCGTGCTTCTCAGGACCTGCAAGAGGTCCCTGCAATCCATGCCATAGAAGGCCCGGGTGCCAACCCCGGCCAGCAGCACGCCCATCTGGCTGACACTGTAGAAAGACGGCACCTGGGAAGACCGGCCGCAAGGAGGATGAGGTTCTACTCTGGTTTCTCACCTGAGAGACACTTACCCCACTGCATGCCGGGTATCTGGATGGGTGCCAGGGGCACGACTGGGAGCAAGACACATGCTGCCCTCCCAGATCTTCCTTCCTTCCATCAGGAAAGAGAGTCAATGTCAAAACACAACACAGGAGGCAAGTGCTCTGCCCGGGGCGTACTGTGCTGTCCGAGGCCACGGTACAAATATCAAAAAGTCATGGCCCATGCACCACAGCTGGCCAGGCAATGGGCTTCTGTGTGTGTGTTGAACTTGGACTAGCTGACAACATTTAGAAATGGGGGAAATTTCCATTAAAATCCAGGTTTAAAAAAAATCTGAGCACCAGGCAATACCAGGCCCACATCGGCAACAGTTGGCAAGAACTGACCAGCAGCCGCCCCTTGACGTAGGTCGTGGGGCTCTCAGTTTACCTAGCCCCACCCCCTTGTATAGGGTCCCCAGGTAGCCCACTTTTCTCATGATGTTCCCTGACACAGCAAAGCCCATGCTCATCTATCTCCATGTAGAAGCTTTGAGTTGAAAAAAATGTTTTGGGATATGGGTCTGATATTTTATGACAAATGTGATTGTGGCTGTCTGCCCCATCAGAAACTCTACTTGTTTTGTCTCCTTCCTTTAGAGCAAAGATGCTAGATGGTTTTCCATGTAATTAGGAACATTCATTCCTTAGCTCTACAAAAAGCTAGTTGTGTTGCCTGCTATGCTCTGTAGAATGGGTAGTATCTACCGTCCTCAAGGAAGGCAAGACCTCTCGAGCTCTTGGCATCTTCATAACAATTGCTTCACCAAAGAGACAAGTCACTTTGTCCGGGGCTGGGAGGAACAAGACGGTCTCCCTCAGCTCCCTGAAATCAAATGCACGTTGAACTGTGCAAGTGAACTCAGGGCGCCCTAGTCAAAACAGAGGAGGGCAGCCAAGCCTTCAAACTAAGTTGCCATGAGGCTAGAAGAGACAAGGAGAATGGGCTAGCCTTGGCCTTGAGTCAGAAAGTACGAATGGATGGACCATGGCCATGGTGCCATGCTGGAGGCAGTCAGCATGGGAGTTAAGCAAGCAGACTCTGAAGCCAGACATCCTGGGTTCAATCCCAACTGTGTCCCTTTTATGGGACCCTGGCAATTCCCTTACACACTCTGTGCCCCTCATGAATGACGTGGAAAATGAAGGTCATAACACACAACTGACCTCAAAAGGTTGTTGAGAACATTGAACAATTAACTCACTTAGACCCGAATCTGGCACACAGGAAGTACTTAATGAATATGTTATTACTGTCCCTTTGGAATTGGTCCCCAGTCCAGTCCTCGTGACCTAGTCTGCATCCCGGGACACGGCTATGAGACAGAAAGAGCAGGACACCAAAATATTTAGGGACTCAGGGCTCTGGAGCCCCTTCTACTGAGGCCAGGGCAGAGAGATGATTTCCCCAGGAAAAAAGACTCATTTCCCACCCCAGAAGCATCTGGACATGGACTAAGTCTCCTGTCCCCTCTAAACAGGAACTTCTGCAAGGACAATTCCCTCCCTGCCGCCCAAAATGAATAAAATAGCATTATCTTTCATCTCAGGATGAGGGACGTGTTCACAGCCTCAACAACAAGCAAGGAAATCCCGGGATGGGTCCCAAGCTTTGCAAACAACACAACAGCCACCACTCATGGAGCTCACACTCTAGGTCACATGTTCCAACTTCTTCCTGCGTACTGACCCACAGAATCCTTGCAGCCCTCCTACAGGAGAGGCGCTATCATTATCCCCATCCTACAAATAGAGAAACTGAGGCAAAAAGTTAAGCCCATTGTCCAGTGTCTCGCAGCTAGTAAACAGCAGAGCGAGTCCTCTTTGGCACCATCTTCGTACTGACTGGTTGTCCTTATTGTGTGTCACTGGCCCTTGGGTCTCAGAGCATTAAAAAAAAAAAGAGTTCAAAGCTCCAACTGACCTTCTCATGGGCCAAGTATTTGGCCGACAAGATGATGACCTGGCTCTTGGCCCAGCCTGAGACCTGGTTGAGGGTAGAGATGGCGCCATGCACAGCCTCGGGGGAGAGGGATTCCAGCTGACTGTGGGTCAAGCCCACAACCGCATCTGACAAAGAGCCCAGAGTCTCATTGAGGGTCTGGTTCTCCGTGGCGATGTCCAGGAGGTCGGCTTTGAGCTAGAAGGGGAGCAAGCTGGCATGAGGGTGGGTAACAAGCAGCACAGTGGCTCCCTCTGCCTACGCCCTGGGGTAGTCACAACACCCTCCCCCACCCTGGCCCGAGGAGCCCTGACCAGACAATGAGTCACCCCAATGAAGAGCACCACCTCCTCTGGCCTTGACCTTGATATGCTACAAATTAACTTTGTACTTCATTTAAATATTAATTTGCTATTAAATCAAACTTGAAACACGGCAGAAGGAAATTTTGTTCACTTTGTCCATAATTCTACCACCCTCTCATAGCATCTGTTGTCTTTTTGTGACCTTGAACTCTGCATCCATATACATGGTTGCTTTTCTTTCATGAAACATCCAGGGTGTTCTTCGTGATAATATATAATCCACGTAAAAATAATTTTCAACAGTAACAAGAAAGTGAAATCTCCTGAAACTCCTCATAAAAATAACTATGATTAGGGGCCCCGGGGTGGCTCAACTGGTTAAGGGGATGACTCTTGATTTTGGCTTAGGTCATGATCTCAGGGTCCTGGGATTGAACCCCGCGTGGGGCACCCTGCTCAGCGGGGAATCTGCTTCTCCCTCTGCCTCTACCTCCTGACACCTCACTCATGCTCATTCTCTCTCTCTCTCTCTCTCTCAAATAAATAAATAAAATCTTTAAAAAATAAGTAAACTACAGCATGTTTCACATAGTTGTAACATGAGTGGAAGTACGATTTTCTATATTTTTTACTTAGGTCTTACAGAGATTTTCACGTTTCTGGGATCGCCTTAACAATGATTTTATTATACTATGCCTATCTAGTTATAGTTAACTGTGTTTCCTAACCACTCCCAGTAAAGAACATTGCAACATGACCTCTGTGCCCAAAAATGAGAATGGTTCATGTTTTCACACCTGAAGTTGTAGAACAGTATATTCCTATCAGAAATGTGCACACCAGTGTACCAGGCAATACTGAAATGGCCACTGGGGGGCAGCAGAGTGAAATGAAAGAAAGCTGTCACAGCCTCTGGGGTCTCCAAATTCTGCAGCTCTCCTTCCCAGCGGCTCAGCTTCCACATCTATAAGACGGAGACATGTGCTTGAGCAGTGCTTCACAAAGCACTGTGGTCCTTGACCAGCAACATGACCCAGAACCTTGTTAGAAATGCAGATTCTCAGGCCCTGCCCGGGTCCTCCTGAACCAGACACTGAGTTTGAGGCCCGGCAACCAGTATTTTAACAAACCCTCCAGGTGACTCTGATGCACCCTCTGGTCTGGGAAGTACTGAGCTAGGTGATCCCAAAGGGTACTCTTTTTTTTTTTTTAAGATTTTATTTATTTATTTGAAAGAGAGAGACACAGCGAGAGAGGGAACACAAGCAGGGGGAGTGGGAGAGGGAGAAGCAG